ATTTCAGGCAAGGCTGAAAAAAACCTGTGTATCTAACAGGCATGCTCAATACACATCATAAACCCACAGGTATCAAAACTCTCAGGAGGGAACAGCAACACAGGAGTGCTCACCCCTCTCCCAGGCTGTGTTACCCTCCCCGCAGCCTCCCAGGGGCTGCCTATTTGCAGCAGGCCCCGGGAGGGCCCAGGGTGGGTGCCCCCAGCCCACGAAAGCACAGCCCCACTCACGAAGGTGGAGAAGAGCTGGTCGCTGATGAGCCGATTCACTTTCTGGAACTGGTCCAAGTCTGCACTGCCCTTCTCTGTGCACAGGTCCCACATGCTCACTGCTGCCAGCGCCTTCATGCAAGCTGACTCCTGCACCAGGGACACACAGTCAGCACAGCCACGCTTGCTGCCCAGGAGAAGAGGCCTCCCAGGGCAGCCCAGACCCTCAGAGATCATCCCCCCCGCCCCGCCCAGCAGCGCTGAGGGCAGGAGCACTGGCCAGAGGCACTGCGGGTTAAGTATCACACCCAGACTGACTCACCCGAACATGCTGCAGGTAGAGGGAAAGGTCCCGGATGAAGGACTTGATCAGCCGCTCCTGCATCCGGAAATTTTTCTCTGTCTCTTCAAAGGCTTCATCCTTCAGCTGTGAGAGAAAATGTCTCAAGGGAGGCAATGGAAGACTCCAGCACCTCCCAGAGTGCCAGACGCAGGGCCTCTGGCCCACAAACCAGGCAGCAGAGATGAACGGTTCAGACTCTAAGCTCACTCTGCCTTGCTTGCCTGGATCAGAGCTACTCATCAGGGAAGGGATACAGGGGCACAGTAGATATCCCTACAAAATCGCAGGGTGTAAATGCACCTGGCAGCTGATGCACATTACCTGGGGCGCAAAGCCTGTCAGATGCTTGAGGTGGCTGCTCACACGATTGGATTTCTTGATGATAGAGTGGAAGTTGAGCTTGGAGATCTTCTCCATGAGGCTATCCTCATCCCCTTTCCGGTACTTTAGCACTAAAGAGATTGATGTAGAAATCAGAACTCTTGTCAGCACCATGTCCACATCTTACAGTGCCTCATCAACAATTGCCTTGCTAGCTCTCCCCATCCCTAAGCTTCTGCAGTCCCAAATACCCCACATATCCTGTATCATATCGTACCATACCACACATCATCTTGAAATCCAGCACTGTGCCACCTGTAATCCCCTATTTGGCTCTCAATATGCCCTACAGTTTGTAGACCCAGCACTCAAACTCTTCCATAGGATTATGCATAGTGTTAACATAAGATGACATAGGTGATGGTGTACAATAGCCACTGGAAATACAAAAGGTATTCATATTGCTTCTTTAGCAAATACAAGCAATCCTTACAGGCAGCCTATGTCATTTCAGCTTCAGTGGGGCTATGTGAAAAGAGTAAAGTCTAAAACTTGCATGAGTCAGGGGTTTCCAAGGGAAAAGAGGGAGGGTGGCTGGCAGTTCAAAGGGAATAATTTTCTCCCTCTGTTCAGTCCTGAGGAGGCTGCACTTGGATACCATGTCCAGTTTTGGTGTCCCCAGGTCCAGAGGGACATCAGAAAACCAGAGGTACTGACCCACAGGGAGAGCTCAGGCCCCACAAGGAGAGCTGGGCAGGCTCAGCCTGGCTGGGAGGAGGCAGAGAGGGATTTGCTCACAGCCAGCAGCTGCTTGAAGGGCAGCTACAAAGGTGATGGAGCCAAACTCCTCTGAGCAGTGCGAGGCAATACAAGGGGCAACTTTGGAGCTTCAGGGCCATCAGGGAGCACAGCTTCACCTCAAATGTGGTGCAGCCCTGGCACAGGTAAGCAGAAAGGCTGTGAAATCTATCTTTGGAGGTCAGTGAGAACTGGCTGGAGGGAGCAGCAGCCGATCAGAGCCAATGCTGGGGACAATCCTGGTCCAAGCAGGAGGCTAAACAGGCGACCTCAGAGGGCTCTTGCAGCCAGCACCTCTGTGATTCTGTCCTGTCTATAGTTATACCTTCAAACTTAGTCTCCAAATCTCAGCAAGATGGACACTGCCCTAGCAGATTAATTGCCTACTTGTGTTGCTTAAATTTGCATTTTTTAACTTTAAATAGATAATCTTTTGTCTTATTATTTTTCTTTTCATTTAATAGCCATGTGGTCAGCATTTGCATACTGCAGTCAGATGTATGCTGCATTACTTTAAATATTGTATCTCATGCTCAGATTTTTTAAATGCAGCTCTTCTACTGCCCTTCTATAAGGGCACAGACTTTGGGAGCAGATTCCCTTCACAACTGTGGTTGCCAGCTAAGGCTCAGGAGCTGACAGATGCCAACCTCAACACACCCACTCCTGTCTCTCTCTCCCCAGCACTACCCAGCTATTACTCACCCAGGTCCTTCCGGCGCTTGTATTCATTGATGTTGACGTTGATTTCTTTGACTGCAAGGACAGCAGCTGTGAGCGGTGCCTTGTCAGGGTGAGCCTCGGGGGTGGCGCTGAGCAGCTCCATCAGTAGTAGTGGGTACCGCATCACCCTTTGTACTGGCTTGATGAGGAAGGAGCCCAAGTTAATGTAGTTTGTGCAGCCCCTGGAAGTTGGAACAAAGGAGATGCACCAGGTTTCAGTCCAGTTCTGCCACGCAAATGCTGTCCCCTCAAACCAATCAGACCTAGAGTACCAACACCTCTAAATCCTCTGTACTCCCTAAGTCACCCTCATGTCCAAACTCACTGCACTCCTGAACCCCCGGTGATCTCAAATCAACCCCAGGTTTCCAGATCTCACTCACACCAGGTGACCCTTCCCAGCCAGGACCTTCTCCATCACCAAACCCACCGCAAAATCCCACACAGGCACACCCTTAAACTTACCAGAGTGCCACTTGCCTCAGACTCTGTCTTACCACTTGACTGCCCAGATCTGAGCCTCAGTGCAGGACAAACTGACTGTTCTCAGGACTGCAGTTGGCGCAGGACTCTCCTGGCTCCTTGGGTCTGACAGGTCCCAAAACCTGTTTGCTGCCCAAGAGCTCCCCTCACCTCGTAACCTGCCTGTGCTGCCTGCCTGTGTAGCCCATCCATTGCCTCTGCTGCCATCGTGCCACAGACACCCTGCTCCTCCCAGATGTGCCTCCGTGAGGTACCGTTAGGGCCCCCTGACATGCACCCAGCCAGTGGCAGGAGGTTAGTTACAAGGTAGCAGCCAGGCCAGGCCAGACAAGCAGGGACTTACAGGAAGAATGCACTTACCACTCACTGTACAGGCTCCTGCCGGCCCACAGAGTGCCAAAAAGCAAAGAAAAGCAATGGGTTAATGGGGCATCAGGCGTGCAATCCCACAGCCAGTGCCTTCAACCCCTCCCACAGTGATGCTGCCAGGGCAGTGGGCAGCCCTGTCCCCCCAGAGCAGCAGGTGGTACTGCCACCTCCTGAGGCATTAACCTCCACAAGCTGGAGCCCTGGCAGTCACTGAGTCAGGTGAAGTGGCTCCTTCACCAGCCATGGTGGGGCAGGGCTTGGGGAATGGAAGCCCTCAATCCAGGACATGCCACTTTCTCTGTACCTTGGTGGCTTCTGCTCAGTTTAAGGGGGCATACAGGTGTCCCACCACCTGTGCATTGGGGCAGGGGGTCATTTAAACACGGAGCCTGGTCAACTATGCAGTGATGCAGCTGGCCCCTCTCCAGGCATCACCTGAACTGTCCAAGCACTGCTGGCAGAGGGGCAGGGATATGGGAGACTGACCCCCCCTACCCCAGCCTGGTGGCCACCACAGCCAGAGGCTCCAACCTGAGGCTATCCAGCAGGTCCAGGAGTAGTTTCTGCATCTTCTCATCCTTCTCATAGGTTTCCAGAAGTGCGATGGCCTCGTCATGGTTCTGGCAATACACCCTGTAGATGCTCTCCAGCTCTGCACGCTGTGCCAGGAACACTGGTCCTGCAGACAGCAGCAAACCAGGGCTTCAGTGTCTCCTGGTCCTCAGCTGCCTTTAACAACCCTGGCATGTCTCATGGTGAGACGCCCAGTGTCCCCCTTCCCCCCCCCCAGCTTGAGAGGACAGCGTTACTAGAACAACCAGGATGCTTCCTCATCACCCTCAGCATGCCCACACATCCTTCCTGCTTCCCTGTTGCTGCAGGCCAGAGGGACAGAAATGGGAAACTGTGCATCAAGGGTCTGCCAAGGCAAGGAGACCAGGACATATTCACTCATGCTTTGAGAGGACTGCTTACCTAGCTGAAGAGCCCTCAGGAGCCACTAGCCCAGAGACCTCATTTGATCCAGCTCTCCAGAGGTGAGGAGCGGGGGACACTGGTCAGTGGTAGTGTGGGTGGGGAGCCACATGGAGAGCAAAGGCACACGCTGCCCAAGGCCTGAGCGGCAAAAGCTGGCAGTGCAGGAGTGGGGCTCCCTTCAGGGCAAGGGGCCAAGGAGGGCCACAAGCACCATGTTTCTCAGCATAGCAATCCACGGGGAAACACAGATCTCCTTGGCTTTGCTGCTGGACTGATAAGGAGCAACAGGGACCAGCGGGGAAGACGCCCAACCCCAGTGACACTCTCCTGCCATTTAAACTACTCTGTTCTGCCCCACCACTAGCAAAGCCCATCCCAGCCTGCTGAGAAAAGGTAACAGCAGAATTCATACCGATAGCATCTGAAGCCTCCAAGGTGGACAGCAGCTGCTTGGAGAAGCTAATTACCATGTGGATGTTTCCAAAAAGACCCTCAAAGTCTATGTTCTGCATCTGGGGAATGGGAAGAGAGATGTCCTGGAGGGGGAAACATGTCCCAGCCAGACCCAACAACCCGCCCTTGCCCTCCTGCAACCCATTAGCCCTCAGCTCCACAGCAGCCACCCGGTGTGACTTCCTTCCATCACGGTATTCCTGTACTCACTCCCTTGTCCCCTGTGCACGGAAACTCTCATTCCTTACGTGTCCTACCAAACACAGTGCCCTCCTCTTTCCCAGCAATTTAATCCCTGCCTCTGTTCACCTGATATTTTCCCTCTCCTCTCACCACAGAATTAGTGAATCCTCATGCCAAGACCCCATATTTTCTTTCTCCTGACAATGAATTTAACTTATGAACCAAAAGAAAAGGAACATTTCCTCCCCCAGGAAACGAATCTGTAATACTTGCTGCCAGGTCTCTTTCTCTCAGCAATGGTGAAAGCTCAGCAGGATCCCAAAACAGATGGGCTATTTCTATGAGTGCAAGGAGCAGTGAGACCCATCCTGCTCCCCTCAGCATAGCTGAATTTCCTCTGTGGGTTCCTGTGCTGCTGCTTGGAAGTCTCCAAAAACAAAGTGGACTCAGTATCCTCACCCCATCCCGCTAGTGCAGCACCATAGGCTGCCCCCATGTTCCTACCTGTGCCTGCTGCAGGGGCACCATGATCCTCTCCACGCACATCTCCAGGTCTCGGATATAGTCCCGCTCTGTCTGGAGCAGCTCCTCAATAACCTTGGACCTCTTCTCCAGCATCCTTTGCTCTGGGCTCTCAGTGGCAGCTGAGGATGTCTCCAGGGATGGTGTCTGGGAGGACAGGAGAGTCATGTCTGCAAGACAGACAACCAAGATCAGCATCCTCCAGCAAGGATGCAAGGGACAGGAGACAAGTAGTGTCTGAGCTGTGTTACACGCAACCTACAAGACCACGAAACATGACCATCAGAGAGCAAGACTGTCCATCCAAGGACATCTCCAGAGAAGCCATCCCTGGCACTCCCAGCCCCAGGGCAGCAGGGAGCCCCAGTCTGCTCCGACAGCCTGCCCACTGCAATGCCCCGTCATCCGGGCAGCAGGCACCAAGCAACACAAACCTGCTCCAGATCGTCCCCCCTGATGCCAGCCGGGTCCAGACCCCTCTCCCCAACTCTGCCGTCCCAGGAAACTCCGTGGGACTTAGCAGACATAAGAAGAGCCCTGCTCCCCTCCTCTTCCCGGCCAAGTAATGGCGGCTGCCCCCTCCCCTCAGGCTGGGAACAGGGTCTCCATTCTCCAGCCCGGGGCATTTCCATCTGAATGGCGAAAAGGCTTCGGGCACCCACAATGGCGCTGCCGGCGGCAAAGCCCGGAGCTGGACCACCGCGA